TCCTCTCGAAGTGCTTCTAGAGTCTGAGGAGGACGTTGCAAATTGAACAATCTCCTACCCATCATATCCCACACGTGCTCAATTGGGGATAAGTCGGGAGATCTTGGTGGCCATGGTAACAATGTGACATCATTATGTTGAAAGAAGTCTATTGTGACTCTTGCAACATGTGGTCGGGCATTATCTTGTTGGAAAGTTGGATCTGCCAGGGTGTCAAGATAGGGTAAAAGATGGGGTTCTAGAACTTCGTTGATATAACGATGCGCGTTCATGTTACCTCTGATGAAGATTAAAGGTGACCTGGAACCATAAGCTATAGCACCCCAAACCATAACTCCAACAGTGTGATGAACATGTCTTTCAACAAAAAACTGTGGATTCCTCCTTTCACCAAGTCGCCTTCTAACCCTGGCACGACCATCGTGCATGCCTAAACAAAATCGAGACTCGTCACTAAAGACAATACTGTTCCATTCCTGATCCCAGAGTGACCGTTGTCTGCACCACTCAAGGCGATTACGTCGGTGTTCTAGAGTTAAAGGGAGGACCCAGTGTGGCCGGTATGAAAACAAGCCAAAACTTCTCATTCGTCGGTAAACACTTCGCATGCCAATAGGTCTTCCGTGTTCTGCAAACCATTCATTTGCAATGGACCTGGTAGTGGAGAAACGGTCCCTTAAGGCCAATAATCTTAGGCGGCGATCTTCACGGTCTGTTGTTCTACGGCGGCGTCCAGTGCCCCTTGCTCTTTGCGTACGGCCTTCTCGAAGCCATGCCTGACAACACCTAACCACAGTGTCTACACTTTTTTGCACTCTAACTGCAATTGCCCGAAAAGAAAGTCCAGCTTCCCGAAGTCCCACTATACGGCCCCTATCAAACTCACTAAGTTGACGAAATCGTACAGGTCTCCGTACTCTAGGCATCGTAACCGATCGTAAAGGATGTCAAGAACCAAAATCCGCCAACGTTGATTCTTTACTGCGGCTGAAATATTCATTTTTAGAGCGTTAGTGAATTAAAAAAAAGCAGCATAAAAACCGGAATGTCCACCTGATAAGGCTGAAATTTTTTTCACTTGTTATTTACAGTAAGATAAATACATTCACCAACTTTTATTCAAATAAAACCATTTAAACTGGGTGTTCGGATTTATATGTCACTTAGTATATTTATAATAACCTAGGTCTAATTGGAATCTTTTGAGAGAAGTGATAAAAAGTAGACACGAAAAATTTAGATGGATATAGCAACGTGAATACTCTGTTTTTTTACTACCCACAAGCGGTTTGCGATTGCCGCTTGGAGTCTGTATAAGTGACACCACTGGATACCCTGCGATTTTTTATCTGCATTGAAAGCTAGAAATAATGATGTGTCGTGTTAAACGTAATTGCAGAATAGCAATAAAATTCTTTTATTCCTCGTTTTGTACTTGGTTTTGATAATGTCGTGAAATTATATAGCAAGTCAGTCTCGTACTCGGTAACACTATTCTACACTTACTGTTCATACAACAATACCACTTTTTCCCAGCTGAAAGATGAAGTTTCAGTTTTGGGAAAAAGTTATAAAAAGCTATTTATTCAGTATATTGTAAGGAGTCACTGGGTTCAGGTCAGTTTGTCATCGGTCATCTGAAGGGCGTTTCGAGATAATTTCAAGGTCACATTGAGAAAGGTCGTGGACCTGGGTGGGGGGAGAATTATTGGGTGGTCCAATTCAAAATTGTACCAAAAATTGACCTTCACTCGGCCCAGGAAAAAGGTTCCTATATATACCAACCATCCTATAAAACCTACAATACAATTAAAGTACTTCGAAGAGTGTTCAAACGAAAAATTGCTACAAGAAAAGCCGCTTTCGTGGTTACGCCTCAACACAATGAACTTATGAAGTTGTAAGGTGCAAATGCGCCGTTTCTCGTAATGGAATCAGAACCAGTTTCAGTTTTGTTTACATCATGCGATATCCGCGATTACTGTTACATTGTGCTTGTGTGCAGCGGAAAGTGCTGCATGTGCTCGTGACGTACTGAAATTGTTCGAAGTTTTATTGCGTATATCGGGTATACCGAGAAAAGGGGATATGTTCGAATGTTATGTGTTGTTATTTAACCATTTGACAGCCTTTGAAGATACCATTTGCATATGGCGATTCACAAGTCGTGACCAAAAATGAAACATCATACGCAGGACCGGCTTTTAAGGGGAGTCTTCGATGTAACATTTGTTCCTCGAGGGCTTCTTTCAAAAGATACAGGGTGTTGAAGTTTAAAAATAAGAACAATTTTTGAATATCTTCAAAACTGCCTTTACTTAAAATTAACGTGCACCGGTGGCGGAGATACAGGGGATTACTGGCATGATTTTTTCAAATAAAAATAGTACACCAGTGTTTTATTTCGAAACGCGCAATTTTTCGAATTTCACCTTCAATTTGGTCTTGTGTTTTTTCCTAGAGTGCACTGTTTTCGTAAAAATAAAAATAAAACAATTTCGCATGCTCGTCGTAACATAACCGCATGGTTAAATAATCATCTGCAGCATTTTTTACGCCTGACTTGAATCCTTGTGCCTTTTTTCTCGTCACGAAATTGAAAATAATTTTAGGGAAACTTTGGGACAAGCGAAAACATTCAAACGTCGTATGTTGGAAATCAAAATTGCCAAAAAGAGTATTCTTGAATTAATCCCTTTTATTGCTTTCATTGATATACCGGACATACTTTCACATCGGTAAAAGTTTCCATTAACCCTTTCCTGCCATAATGAAAAACTGCAAACAACTCATTTCTGCACAGCCAGTCAGATACACATTTATTACTTATGTGATACTCGATGCATATCGACCGCCGCACACATGTACTCTCTCTCACACAGTGATTTCCGTGGGGCACAAGTGGTGGCAGATGGCCAGAGCAGCCCTTGGGACACCCGCTATGTATATGTGGAATCAAGGGCGGACCAAATAGGGCGAAAGCTAACCCTTTCGGGTGACAGGAGTAGATATTGCAGATACGCAGGATTTTTTCAACAGTATGACTTTAAATTTTTTTTAGCAAATATAAAAGTATACTAAGTGACATATAAATCCGAACACCCAGTTTAAATGGTTTTATTTTAATAAAATAATAAGTAAATGATAAAAATTTCAAAATGATTGCACTGCTTTAAAGCCCTTTGACCTTTAATAATGTGTGGTTGCACCCTGATGTGCTACGCATTCTCCAACGCGCCTAGGCATGCTTCTGATCAGGTGGTCAATGTCCTCCTGTGGTATCTCATTCCAGGCAACCACCAACTCCTCTCGAAGTGCTTCTAGAGTCTGAGGAGGACGTTGCAAATTGAGCAATCTCCTACCCATCATATCCCACACGTGCTCAATTGGGGATAAGTCGGGAGATCTTGGTGGCCATGGTAACAATGTGACATCATTATGTTGAAAGAAGTCTATTGTGACTCTTGCAACATGTGGTCGGGCATTATCTTGTTGGAAAGTTGGATCCGCCAGGGTGTCAAGATAGGGTAAATGATGGGTTTCTAGAACTTCGTGGATATAACGCTGCGCGTTCATGTTACCTCTGATGAAGATTAAAGGTGACCCGGAACCATAAGCTATAGCACCCCAAACCATAACTCCAACAGTGTGATGAACATGTCTTTCAACAAAAAACTGTGGATTCCTCCTTTCACCACGTCGCCTTCTAACCCTGGCACGACCATCGTGCATGCCTAAACAAAATCGAGACTCGTCACTAAAGACAATACTGTTCCATTCCTGATCCCAGAGTGACCGTTGTCTGCACCACTCAAGGCGATTACGTCGGTGTTCTCGAGTTAAAGGGAGGACCCAGTGTGGCCGGTATGAAAACAAGCCAAAACTTCTCATTCGTCGGTAAACACTTCGCATACCAATAGGTCTTCCGTGTTCTGCAAACCATTCATTTGCAATGGACCTGGTAGTGGAGAAACGGTCTCTTAAGGCCAATAATCTTAGGCGACGATCTTCACGGTCTGTTGTTCTACGGCGGCGTCCAGTGCCCCTTGCTCTTTGCGTACGGCCTTCTCGAAGCCATGCCTGACAACACCTAACCACAGTGTCTACACTTCTTTGCACTCTAACTGCAATTGCCCGAAAAGAAAGTCCAGCTTCCCGAAGTCCCACTATACGGCCCCTATCAAACTCACTAAGTTGTCGAAATCGTACAGGTCTCCGTACTCTAGGCATCGTAACCGATCGTAAAGGATGTCAAGAACCAAAATCCGCGAACGTTGATTCTTTACTGCGGCTGAAATATTCATTTTTAGAGCGTTAGTGAATTAAAAAAAAGCAATATAAAAACCGGAATGTCCAACTGATAAGGCTGAAAATTTTTTCACTTGTTATTTACAGTAAGATAAATACATTCACAAACTTTTATTAAAATAAAACCATTTAAACTGGGTGTTCGGATTTATATGTCACTTAGTATATTTACCGAATAGAACGGTAGATCTTATACACAAATAATCCAATTAGCTGGAAACAATCCTAAAGGAATATTGGCAATAATTATTTAATGAATTATGTGGTAAGTCCACCCATTGATATTAAACCAAATACCTTGAATGATTTTTACTGTTCAATTGCAGCGAAACTAGCATCAAACCTTTGTTCACAGCGTGATCCACTGAGTTTTCTATACAATATTCAGCTACCAGAACACTTTATTGGGACGCTTACAAATGTTAGGGAAATTGAGCTGGTTACTAAAGAAGTAAGAAGCTATATCTCGACTTTAGATGGCATTTCCAAAAGAATTTTTGAAAATCTGGCCCTTAGTGCTTTACGAGTGATGTCTTTTAAGTTTTGCATATAGAAACATAGGCCGCGCGGATCGAACGTCAGTACTGAATCTTAACCTCACTCTTTAGTAAACTTAAATTCAAAGTTTCACAACAATACGTGCAGTGTTCTCACTACAGTAAATTTTTAAGTGTCGCCAAGTCATTAGAAAAATGGAACTCGACCGAGAACATTTTCGCGCCATAATTTATTACAACTTTCAGAGACAATTACCGCAACAAGAATATTGTCTGTTTTCGGCAACGAAGCGCCACATCAGTCGACAATTTCACGTTGGTGTGGAGGATTCAAACGTGGAAGGGTGAGTCTTAGCGACGATCCCAGGGTGGGTCCACCAAAAACGGCAGTCACCCAGGAAAACGTCGATGCTGTGCGCAAACTCATCTTTGAAGATAGACATGTGACATATCGCGAGATTGAGGCGTCCTTGAAGATCTCAAAGACCTCGATTCAAAAAATTTTACATGAAGAATTAGGAGTAAGAAAATTAGTTATTCGTTGGATACCCCACCTGTTGACTGAAGAGTAGAAAGCAGCTGGGGTTAATTGGTGTCAAAAAACGGTTGACGGTTTCAATTCAGGAAACTCAAAAAATGTGTACAGCATTGTTACTGGTGATGAATCATGGATTTACTGTTAGGAACCAGAAAATAAACGACAGTCGGCTATTTTAGTGTTCCAAGGTGAAGAAAAGCCAACAAAAGTCATCCATTCTCAAAGTGTTTCGAAAAAGATGGTCACGACATTTGTGTCAAAAGCAACAATTGCTCTTTATCGAGCAAAGAACTGTTACTGCGGATTGGTATACCACCATTTGTATGCCAAAAGTCATCACCGAGCTTCGAAAAATCAACCCCGAAAGAAGAATCATCCTCCACCAAGACAATGCAAGCTCGCACACAGCCCAAAAAACAAGACAGTTTTTAACGGAAGAAAACGTGGAATTATTGGACCATCCTCCATATAGGCCCGATCTAAGTCCTAACGATTTCCCTAACATTAAAAACAGACTGCGTGGTCAAAGGTTCCAGTCACCAGAAGAAGCAGTTGACGCATTCAAAAATGCCGTTTTGGATCTGCCAGCAAACGAGTGGAATAAGTGTTTCGAAAATTGGTTCGAGCGCATGCAGATGTATGTTAATCTTCGTGGAGAATACTTCGAAAAACAATAAAGTCATTTAAAACTAAATAACGTGTGGTTTTATTTCCATATGCAAAACTTAAAAAGACATCCCTCGTATCTGCTATGACAGGCGCTATCAACATATCGTTTCGAGCAGGAATCTTTCCTTCTTGCTTGAAGATTGCAATGGTTATTCATTTTCGTAAGGTATGCTATGCTGAGACCCCTCTAATTACAGACCAATTTTTCTTCGGTTTTCCAAAATGATTGAAAAACTGGCCAAAAAAGGACCATTGAATTTTCTAAACAAACAACCTGCTGCATGAATGATTTAACTCCCAGATTCTTAACAATGTGAAATCAAAAACAAGCCTGTTCAAAAAAATATTGGACGCCCATGATATTCCAGTCCTACCCCTCACGGATCATAATTGGGGGTTCCTTTAAGCATTACGGCCATTCATTTCGGTCAATATTGAACCCTAGACAGCCAGTCAATGATACTTAATGCCCTTTTCTACAATAATGATACCATTTTTAATTACTATGCGAGGCGTGGTTATTAGTTCTTTTCTCTTCAGTCAAAAATTATTCGAATAATGTAATCAAACTTACAATTTTGTTACATGTAATTTTGTTTGTCATTGTCAGAGTCTCGGGATACTGATCATAGAAGGAATTGTCTATAGAAGTGAGTTTTAGCGCACAATACTGGATTTCTACCGCTTTTCTTACTACACAATCTTCGGTTATATGTATACGCAGAAGCAGCTTTCCACTTGTGAATTAGCATGAATTTCAACATCTACCATTTACTTTTTGTATCTACTGGTTTTTGAACGTCACATCTACCGAATTTAGCCTTTCTTAATCTGGCGGCACTTCCAACCAAATATTTCGAATACAAGACGACGGATCTTCTTCAAATTTTAGCATTTTGATTTCCCTCAGGTTTCAAGTTATTTTGAAGAATCTTAAAAATTCGTATCTGATGAAAATTGAAATAATACGATAAAAAACGATGAAAGATATCTAACGAAAATGAAGTTTTTTACTTTCCAAGCATGTATCTTTTTTCTCGTTGACTGTGTGAAAATCGGTTATACTACAGAAATGGCGGACATATGTATGGTATTTTTTTTTATTTTAATTATTTAAGATCCGATGCATAGTAATAGAGATAAACGAAAAGAATCGAAACCACGCATTTGATTGAATAACAAAACCATAAACAGTCCAATTTGTGTGGAAAATATCGTTTTAGGCTCTGTTAGTGATTCCCTTTCAGACTAAAACAAAAATAGAAATGCAGTATTCTTTGCAAGGCGAGGACCATTTTCACGTCGATTAGACTGGAGTACAGGCCCCTCCTACCTTTCATCTGCTGAGAAAACCACAAAAGCAACAATTTTTTTTAATAAAGGCAAACCATAGACAAAATGCCTAGATTTATTGATAGTGGAAAATATTAGTATGCATCTATCCAGCACCCACTTTGGATTCGTATGTATAACCTGTCTTCCGTGATCTATGAGGTTCCGAACTTCCAGTGCATACTGCGAGCATACGCGATTTCCAGTCAAGTCAGTCAACCAGGCCCACACAATTAGTCCCTGCCCTACTGATAGCATCATCCAATTGGCAACGTCGCTCCTCCCCCATGCTCTACCGTTCGATGACTCCACTCGTCAGACTCCGCAGCGTGGCAGTAACGAAACGACACTCTTGGGGGAGCAGCATTGCCATATTGAGGAACGTTTCCCTAACTGATTTTCACTTCCCTTGGGAAATTTTTTGGGGATATAATATTTTGAGGGATTCTTTGGGGATTAATAATATCGTTGGGTAGTACTTTATTCCATTTTTCAACGAGCAGAACTGAACATTGCTTAATACAAATTTTACTTTTCTGTACATTTTTCTTTCCTCATAGTCGTACCTGTCCCCACAAGTCACATATACTGACCCATCTCTACACTTTTGATGTGAAGCAGCAGATTGACTTAAGAGCTCTGCCTCATTGGGACGCCATGGCGACGCAGGCCTGGCTACTTGTGGCATCCGAGGGTCGCCAAGGCGAGTAGCCATGGCATCTCGACAGTCAGTTCGTGTCATCTCTCAAGAATGGACGCAGAAGAAATTGCACTTCTTTGTTATATACGTCGCAGAAAAATGAAAAAAGAAAAGAAAAAAAGAAACTATGGGTTCATCCTTTTATATCTGATCGAAACCGAAGTGGCATTTTTTTAAACTGTATGGTGATTTACGAAAATATCCTGAAAAGTTTTTCAATTACACAAGAATGTCAATAGCATCTTTTGACGAATTATTAAACTTATGTAGAAACGATTTAACTAAACAGGATACGATATTTAGAAAATCGATTAGTGCGGAAGAAAAACTATTTGTGTCATTGAGGTAAGCAGTTTTTTATTCAAATTTTCAAGAATGAAACATCTAAAGTTAATCATATACATCTAAAATGGAGGAATCTTCTGAAACATTTGTCATATTTGACGGTGGTGCACTAAACGGTTCACTAGGTAAATACTCAGTGCTGTTTATCATGGGTTGGGTTTCTCTAGGAACAGTAGAATATCCAGGGTGATAACTTTGTGACGACGACGATTCTGTTTGTGACCAGTAGTTTTGACGGTATAATGTACTATCATCAATATTGAGCACAGGGCGGGTTGCTTCATCAAGAATTGACATTATTTTCATTTTAGTTGCCATTTTTTTTGAGGAGGCACGTTTTTTAAGGTGCTAACTAAAGACAGCATGAATAACCTGTCGTCATCTTGATTCTCAACCTCATATTGTTCTCTACTTTTGATGGATTTGTTAAGGGCTTCTAAAAATTTGTCATCTTCAGGTGAATTATTCTTTTTGGTTTTCATTCTTTTCGGACAACTTAAAGCTTGACTGCCTTGTTGCAAGTCTTGTTCAGTATCAGGATTTGTAGCTTCAACATCAGGATCTGACTCTTTTGATTTTTCTTCGACCTCAGACTCTCTTAACGGGACCACCTTCTGGAGAAAAAGCAGTTGCTTAAAAAATATATATTCGCTTTTACGTGGTCCACGACCAGACCCAGACTTCAAAGATTTTTGCCGGTTCAGCTCTCGTGTGAAGCAACCACGAATACTTTTCCACCTTTTTTGCAAAGTATCAGCTGAAAAAAATAAATAAGTTTAGTATATCCATTCATCAGTCAATCAGTCAGCCTATTGCAGTCCAATAATGATGTTATATTTTCTTTTAGGTATTTTGCGTCAGGATGTTCACTCATGGAACTTTACTACAACTACAGACTCGGTCATACAACAATTTGCACAATAATTATAGAAGTATGTAGCGTTATATGTCAATATCAGGAACAGTTTATAGGTCTTCCAAAGACAGAAAATGATTGGGAAAAAGTTGCAAGAGGATTTGAAACAATCGCAAACTTCCCTCATTGCATCGGCGCCATTGACGGGAAACACATGAGAGTAATAAAACCGATGCATACTGGATCACTATATTTCAACTACAAGCATTATTTTTCAATTGTACTACTTGCTCTGTGTGACGCTAATTACAATTTTCTTTATATAGACGTTGGAGCGTATGGAAAAAGCAGCGATTCAGCAATTTATAAAGATAGTGCTTTATATAATAATCTCATTAACCAATCTTTACCTGTTCCTGGGGCAAACCCATTGACAGAAAACGGTGACAATGTTCCATACGTAATAGTGGGAGATGAAGCTTTTGCGTTACATGAAAACCTCGTAAGACCATATGGAGGATACAATCTTAGTTACAAGCAAAAAATATTCAACTACCGATTATCAAGAGCACGCCAATATATCGAATGTACATTTGGGATTTTATCTAACAAGTGGAGGATTTTTCACAAGCCCATGAATGTACATATAGATTTGGCAAAAGCGATTGTAAAGACATGTTGCATATTGCACAATTTTGTACGTTCAAGAGATGGCTGTTCTTACGAAGATACTCTAACGGTAACAGGACTTGAACCAGGTACAAGTCGAAATCGCGATAGAGGAGGAAAAACGGCACTCACAGTTAGAGACAAATTAGCAGATTATTTTGTAACTGAAAATCCATTACCATGGCAAGACAAGTATGTATAAATGAAAGTTAATAAATGTACCGACATTTACTCACCTAGTTGTTTTTTTCTTGGTTTGTCATTTCGTCTTTTTCTTTAAATATGTTTACAATTTCGTCCCAACCTTTAATTTTCAAGTTACGGTCGCAATAATCATTTGATGAACTATCCCATAAGCAAGGCCGGTTTTGAATTTCTATTATAAATTTTTCAGTATCGAAACTCATTTTTCACATCAACTATCAACTACTATTCCGAGCGAGCGTCCAAAGTGGCGGCTGACTGGCGACTGAGTGAGCGAGGTACAGCTAACATGTGTACAATATGATGGCGACGACGCCACGGCGCCAGAGTAGCCAGTCGCCACGTAGGGAGCTGTAGTTTGTGGCCACGCTTCCATCTTGGCCACGTCGCCACACCGTCGCCAAGTGAGTTAGGTACCATAAATTCCAATATGAACTGTTTGGATACGTGACCGGCGACGTCGCCATGGCGTCCCAATGAGGCAGAGCTCTAAGTATCATCGTTTTACACACGTCTTTTGGGAGAATGAGCGACTCTGCGATTCCTCAATCCTCAATGAGGAATGTTCGGTTAGGAAAAATTTGAATTTCAAACTGATAATTTTCTTTTGATACTAAACTGAATTGCGTAAATTTCCAGCATAGGGCATAAAAAACTAATCAGTTATTAAATCTAAATCTGGAGGTTTTAAGAACGGTTTCTGTCTGATGTCACAAAGTTATAAGTCACACGTTTCGCGAACAGAACCACACGCCTTCCTCCCTTCAAACCAAAAATGTAATTCTCAAAAGGATTCTTGTGGAGGAATTTTATGACGAAAAATAAAACTTTCGAAATTTTTCCTCATTGCGTAGGCAGTAAAAAGTTGAATCGGTTTAACCTTCCTACATCCGACATCACAAACGACCATTCCTCTTCCAAGCGTCTTTTGATGTGCTACTACAATTTGAGCAAATTCTAAACCTGCAACACAGTATCTCCAAATGGTATATTGACTGATTTTGATCTGCATTCAATGAACCATAAAAGTCAATTCAGTGCCTATATTTGTATAGAGTGCAGAAACCAGCCTGGTTACCAACACGCTTTGGCTATATTGTCGGTACCTTTTAGGGAAGCACCTTTTAGAAGGTAGTTTGTATCCTGGTACAAAGTGCAACAAATAGAATCGCTGAATGATCCATGTGTGAACATTCAATCTTCCTGATGCTGGACTCTAGAGGGAGCATTTGAAATAAATGATTCGCTATAATAATTTTGATTTCTGCTTATATCGATCTTCTATATTCAAATTATCATGGCATTGTCAAGACTATCATAGCGAATCAAATGTATCGTCGTCTTTTGTTTATGAAATCGTAAATTTGCGGTTCTCGTACGACTAGTGAACATAAGAACGATCAAATAGTGGACCAAATCACCTAGTCTGGCATTGTCTGGCTGAAAAATCGCAACCACCACAAAACTTAGCAGAAATACCTGACCATTTTATCACTTGTTGTTCATGGCAAGATAAATCGACACGTAAGAAATTCTTGCATTCCAATAAACATACGTAGGCAAGTCAGGTGCGGATATTCATAATCCGCCATCAACTTACAGTAAGAAACCGCAGGGGCTCCAAACAACACATTTTCTAATTAAAATTTGGCCCACGACACCTCACGATATGTTGGCCAACCATATTCGATATCAGCTACCCCAATTACCTCAATCTAATTTCACCCAAATCGTCCTCTATTTTTATTAAAACACTAGCCTAAGCTCGCGGCTCGCCCACGTGGAAGAAGTCTAAAGTAGGTCTTTTGTTTTTGCATTAGCGTAAAGGAGATTGGTTTCGGAGAAAGGCACACACACTATTCACGGTAATGCCATACTTACTTTGGCGACGGGCATTTCTTTTCAACATTTAAGGCAACGATAAATTAATGTCAAATGTGTGTTTGTTTATTTATAGTATTATTACTTGAAGAAAATCAAAACACCAAACAACGTAAGTCAAGACGATCACGCTGAGTAAACAAATTTCGAAAAGCAGGAAATATACGATGCATACATGCTTAATTCCGGTTGGACTAGCGACTGAACGCTTCCGCGCCAGACACCTCATATTAAATTCCATTAACTTGTTTGGGCTGGAACTCGTGAAATAGATATGTTAAAGATATTTCCCGAGTTAAAAAGTAGGCCATGTACTATTCCCGAGTGTAATCTGTATTTTTTCATGATTGAGTAACAAACATCCACATTTTCACATTTATAATATTAGTAGGGTAGAAGGCATATCTAGTAGGGAAACTCCATATTAGATGTACACCTATCAATTTCAAAACGACTACAATTTGTTTTATTTATTTTGGCTCAGATTATATTTTCGTCAGCAGGTTGGTTTGTTTAGTCTCCACTCGATACATTGATGAATGATAAATATTTTTCTCACGTTTATAAACAATCAATGCAAGTGTTGTATGCGGGATAGCCTTCACCCATTCTCATACCCTTACACATACCTTTAGTGAGGCAAAAACAAAGAAGAAAACTATTTTTACAACTTCTAGAAGTTTTGAAATTTATCGAAGCTGATGACAAATTTTTAAAATTTTGGGGCCTATGAGAATACTCTCAAGAATTCATCACGTACTTGAAAAGAGACAAATAAGAAGAACAATCTGAAACGATTTCCTTTTTGCAAAATCGATGCGCAGGATGCTGAGACCCATCGGAGGCGTCCATGCACCTGATGTAGGTGAAACATAAATCAAGCTCTCAATCTCAACTGCAATATTTACTACATATTTATATATTTACGTGAAAAAATATTGGAATTCATTATGTGTATCGAAAAGGGGCATGTCACTGTTCAAAATATCATTTTCATATTGACTATATATAATCAAAATCAGCGAGTCTGCCAAAAGTAAAGGTTCCTTGACAAGTAGTTTGACCATGCTAACCGCTTTGCTGATAAAATTTCTCATTTATCATATAACGACTGGACTATAAGAAAACGAAAATCCGTCAGAGTTCGGCATGTTTTAATAAAAAACTGCTTTATCTTTAACGAGCCTTTCGCTACCGGTCTTCGTCTGCAATGTCTGAGGTGGTACAGTGTTGTCTAGGCTGTTATGATCCCGTACATTTAATTATTTTCATCAATTATCAACTGGTCACCGGTTCAACCGTTTGGTTTGTTTGTATATCGTGTTTCGTACATGCGGAAGTGAAATTTTGAAAATGTGGAGTTCTTGATGTTTGTCCTTCTTGTAGTTTGGATACATCTTGTCCCTCCAGAACAAGGTGTACCTAGGTATATCATACCTACCCACTCCTAAAACAATGAGATATTTATGAAGCCGTAAGTTACGAGGTTGTCAAATTGACTAGTAGGCATATCCACCAAATTGTTTCAATTTAGAACGATCTCTATATGTTCGTAATAATTTATAGAGATCGTTGTAGAACAGGCAAATGGATAAATTCCTTATGCTATACAGGGTGTTTCAGTTTATTGTTGCATAACTTTAAGATTCGATAGAACTTTTAAAATTAATGCATAAAGTCTATATAAACATGGGTCGAAAAATGCGTTGCTTCCGAAATACAGGGTGTTTAAATTTACTTTCGAAAATTGCTTTTTTTAAACATTTCGAACAATATTTGATGTATAACAGTGAAAATTGGTATACAAGGGTTTTTTGGTACGACAAAACGAACCATGGGCATAGTTTTACTGTAGCCGCTAGAGGGCGCTCTCTACTGTACCTGTAGTGTATTAAAATGACCGAAAAGATTTTCTTAGTGCAATTTTTTGCTTTTTGAATAAAAAAACTGATTCTTCGCACTTTTCAACATAAAAAAGCTCTCCTGTGAGTTTTCGTTATAGTTAGCCGCTTTTGAGATATTTCGATTTTTAAGGTTCGATGCATTTTTAATTATTTATGGGAAAATAATATTTTTTTTTTACATTTTCGATTTGGGCATTACAAGTAATTAAGATGATCGTTTAGATTGTGTTTTTAAACACAGCAATAATTCCTAACTCCAAATAAACACAAAAAACAGAATATTAATTTGAACTTTCCAATATTATTTTTAACAAATTAAATTAATTATTTACAACTAAAATGCTATTGGATAGTTAGGACAAACATACAAAATCTAAAGTAGTTGCTCGAAATGTAATCCCAATTGTTCAATACACAATTCACATCTACGAATGATTGAACGTGGTATAGCATTATTCAAGTAAGGCCTTATTTCATCACATGCATTCCTGATTCTGTCTATTAGCATATCTCTTGTGGTTACGGGAGTCTGGTACACCTTTTCTTTTAGAAATCCCCACACAAAGAAATCTAATGGATTTAGGTCAGGGGATCGTGGAGGCCGGGCGACTGGTCCTCCACGGCCGATCCATCTTTCTGGATAATTTTCGTCCAGCCAGTTTCTAACTATTATCGAATAATGAGCTGGACAACCATCAAGCTGGAACCAGGCCAATCTTCTTAAATCTAACATAACATCATCCCACATATTTGCATGTTCAGCCTTTGAAAAT